ATATATATATATATATATATATATATATATATATTTGCTACAAATGCAAATACCCTGTGGCCGTAGCTCTCACACTAGGCTTCCCACATAATAAAATTAATATTCAAGAATTTACTTTCGAACATCTGCAATTATTTAATAGAACATCACAGCTTCGATTGGAACATATATGATCTACAGCCCAAATATTCAAATGTTTGGATAGAGAAGGAGAGCACCATGGTGTTCTTAGGCAAAAGCGCAAAGCCCTCAAGAGTTTCACCTCCAAGAATCACAAGCATGCGTTTGAAATAAAATATAAAAAACACAATAAATTTCAAACAGGTGAGAAAAATAGTGGAAACCTTTCACTGAACCAGATCAAACCTATATAATCCCCTAAATTAAACCATATCAAGGAATCTCACCTCCTACCTATAATCCAATCAGTACATGAAAACCCAAATATTGAATTATTTTATATACCAAGGATCAAAACACAATATGCACTATGATGGGCAGAAAGAGACAAAAGCACAGACATTCAATATAAAATTAAATAATTATTAAAATAAAAGAAGAAGCATCAGAACACCACAAGCACTAAATTGGGCAGAGTCAGAAAACCCACATGAAACAGAAACTGAATTAAAGAAACAAAATAACCAGAGGAGGACCAGAACATTAAAAAAACCAAACAAACAAAGAAGGATAAAAAAACATCACATATAAGTTAGAGAGAGAGAGCTGCTACCATAGAGATGGTTAAAGAAGACGCGGGTTGCACCAGTGGACTTGACAACCTCCAAGAGAGAGGAAACACTATCAGATGACCTCTTGGTTATGAGGCAAGTTCCAAGGCTCCTCAATGAACTATCAAGATGAGTAAGACTTTGCTTGAGCCACCACCTAGAGACCCTTCCTGGATAGTAATGACCCTCTTCTTCAGGCGCCCATATAAAGACTGCAACCACTGAACCAGCTCTCACGCCAGCTGAGAGAGCAGGGTTATCTTCAACTCTCAGATCCCTCCTGAACCACACTATGCTACACCCACTTGACATCTCCCTGCTACACAGAACAACCCCTGCAACTCCTCTAATCATTCATTTTCTCTCCTCTACCTCTCTCTCTCTCTCTCTCTCTCTCTCTCT